TTGTGTGCAGCTGTGAGGCTGCTGGGGTAGCAGCCATCCTGGACTGCTGTGCTTGGGGGCTGCTGGGTCCGTTCCGACCCACAGCAACTCGTGGACAACCGAATGCAATGCTGCCTGAATAATCCAGTGCCACCTCCACAACTGCTGTCTTTGAGCCACAGGGCCAATCCATTCCCTCGACAGTCTTCACCTTTTTTTACTGATGGAACATGATGTCCTCCTCCAAGGACTAGTCTTTCCTGATAACATGGCCAGAGTATGTTATCAAAGTATCGCCATCCTCAGTTCTGAGGAGCAGTCTAGCGATACTTCTTCTAAGACAGATACTGCATATCCTCGAGTATACGCCGGCCCAAGTATCAGCCGAGGCATCTAGTGTACCACAAAAACTGCATTGAAAATGTGCTGGAAAAGCTCGGCTTCTACACGAGTATATACGGTACGTCTGTTTTTCTGGCAGTCCGTGGTACTTTCAATACCCAACACCATAATTCAAATGCACGCATTCTTCTGTGGTCTTCCTTATTCAGTGTCCAACTGTCACCTGCAGGTGAGGCCACGGAAAATACCATGGCTTGGGTCAGGCACATCAGGAGAACCAGGTGTGTCAGGATTAGGAGGTCCCACACCATGGGAGGAAAAGGTCACCATGATGAGGACAGTAGGGTTGGAGGGGTCTTGACCATTGATGCATCATCAAGCCTTGGCCAGCCTTGCGACCACGGGCCTTGGGATCCACAGTTAAATGAACAGTTAATGTCATTGTGTTTTAAACCATCAGTATCCCATTTTACTCCTCCTTGCACCCAAAGGTATCCTAAAGGACTCAACACTCAATCCTTGAGTTGAATAAACAACCTTCGCTTACTAAGTGCTTTCTATCTTCCATGTACAAGCCCAGGAATCCTTATAAAGTAGGTATTGTTGCCTGGTGGGGCTTGATCAAGGGCAACGTAGCTGAGAGGAATTACTGAAAGCTGAATGAAGGTTGAACATGATAGTGGGACAAGAGGAAAGTAAAAGGAAATAGAGGAAAAGAACTAGGAAGGAAAGGACATTTGTAGAGATATAAATACAGGCACATACATATGTAAATATATTTATGTATAATGATAAAAGACATAAATCTATGTATATATATTATATGTCAAGTATTAAGGTAGCAGATGGACATTGGACCTCTAATCAAGTACCCCCGCAATGCAAGAACACTTTGTTCTAGTAACCTGGCATTCTGTGATGCTCACTGAAGACAAAATGTGTGTATAAGCAAATGTGGACAAGAAAGCTAATGGTGCCCTGCTATCAAAAGATACAGCGTCTGGGGTCTTAAAGGCTTGACGTTAAACAAGCGGCCATTTAGGTCGGAAGCAACAAAGCCCACATGGAAGAAACACACCAGCCGATGTGATCATGAGGTGTAGACATGATCAGGATCAGAAGACCCCAAACAAACAAGCAACTCGATGTGAATGAGGAGGGTCGGAATGGAGACCTAAAGCCCATCTGTAGATAATTGGACATCCCCTCACAGAAGGGTCACAAGGAAGGGACAAGCTAGCCAGGGTGCAGTATAGCACTGACGAAACACATAACACTCCTCTAGTTCTTTAATGCTTCCCCACTCCCACCCCCCACTATCATGACCCCAGTTCTGTCTTACAAATCCAGCTAGACCAGAGCATGTATACTGGTACAGATAAGAGCTCTCAACACACGGAATACAGGAAAGATAAAACCCTCAGGAACAATAATGGATGTAGCAATGCCAGGAGGGTAGGGGGGAGATCGGGGGCAGGGAGAAAGGGGGAACTGATAGCAATGATCGATGTATAACCCCACCCCCCTCAGGGTGATGAACAACAGAAACATGGGTGGAGGGAGACAGAGGTTGGTATAAGATCTGAAAATAATAATTTATAATTTATCAAGGGTTCATGAGGGTGGGAGGGTGGGGGAGGGAGGAGAAAATGAGCTGATGCCAAGAGATCAAGTAGAAAGAAAATATTTTGAAAAGGATGATGGCAACATAGGTACAAATGTGCTAGACACAATGGATGTAGGGATTGTTAGAAGAGTTGTAAGAGCCCCAAATAAAAATGATTAAAAATAAATAAAATCAGATTTAAATAAATAAACTAGGTATTATTATCCTCCTGCCACAGGTGAGCGGGATGAGACCCAAAGAGCATAAAGAATGTAGCTAAAGCTGTATTATATTTCTCAGGAGAAAGATAGGGCTTTCTACTCCCGTAAATAGTTGCAGTCTCAACTCAGAGGCAGTTCTACCCTGTCCTATAGGGTCACTGAGTTGGCATCCCCTCGATGGCCACGAGTTTGGTTTGCTATGGTACTATATTTCAGTGTCAACATTATCACCAGGGATGTAGAAGAAGGGGGAGAAATATCCCAGAGGAACCTGAGGAAGTGGGCTCCAGGGGGTTCCATCCCCCAATACAGAATCATTTGGGTGATCTTATTGGCAGCATAGGCAGATGGGGGATGTAGAAGAGATATCTCTGTGAACTTGAGGTTGACCTTCCTTAGTCACAGGCTGAGAAGGGGAGCAATGTTTAATGAGCACCTACTATGTGCCAGCTATTGGTGACAGGTACTTTAGGTTCTCAACTGGGGGCAATTCTGTCCCCCAGAGGACATTTGGCAATATCTGGAGACACTTGGTTGTCACACATGGGGAGAGAGTGCTCCTGATATCTAGTTTATGTCCAATGCTCAGTGTCTTAGAACGCATGGGCATCTCCTTATGACAAAGAATTCTCTGGCTCCGCATGCTAGTAGACCCAAGGTTGAAAAATCCTACTTTATAGTGTCTCACTCTCACAAAGACCCCATCCCCACCCCGTTTTACAGATTAGGCTCAGAGAAGTGATGTTTTGGTCAAGGTCACCCAGATAGTTAGATTTGGAGCTAGGGTACAAATGCAAGCCTATTTCATTCCATCGTGTATGAAAAACACATGACTAAATTAAAGTAGAGGCAACTGAGGCACAGGGGGCCATCGAAGATCACCCAGCTTCCAAGTGGCAGAGCTACTCCAGAGCTCCAGAGACTCAAAACAAAAGGTCAGCCACCTTTGGATGCAAGGATAGTTTCCACCAGCCATGCTTCAAAGGATCCCCTACCTCACACCTTTTACTCCCTACCCAGGGACAATAGCATTCATCCCCCATGGTCCAGATCCAATCCCACTTTGCCTGTGGTCCCAAAGACACTGAGGTCTGTGCTAGGCTAAAGCTTCTCCATTCTTTCCGTGTGCTGTTCTGAGGCACCCGCCGTATTGTCTGAGTCCATAGGGAGACTTGAACTAGATGTTTCGAGCAGAAGATACATAGAACACTGAAGTTCATACCCAAATCCATTATGGTTTGGATTCTAGAGGAAAAGATGATATGAATCAACAAATCTACTGAGGAGATAATCTAATCTCTGGCCCCTTGAATTCCAGTTGGAGAATTAATTGTGTGAGCAATTTGGAGAGTGGGGCTAGGCCAAGGCAGGCCACGCATGTAATGATATAAACAAGAAGAAACCTCTATAGAGAACTAGTGGGTACACGGTGGGCCCAGATCCTAAAGGTCAGTAGTTCTAAGCTACCAGCCCCTCCTTGGGAGTAAGATGAACCCCTCTACTTCTGTAAAGAGTTACAGTCTTGAAACTCCATAGGGGCAGTTCTACTCTGTCCTAGAAGGTCGCGATGAGTCTCTGTTGACTGGATGGCGGCGAGTTTGAGGTTTGAATGCTAGATACTGGGCACGGATGTTCCAAGTACTTCAGATGGATTAACATTTAATCCTGTGCAGGACCCTTTGAGGCAGATAGCATTGTTGTTCTCACTGTATTGATGGTGGGTGGGGGTGGGGTTAGTCAAGCCCTGAGGCTTTTGAGGGGAGGAAGTTGCCTAATATCACCCAGCTAGCAAGTGAGGCAGCCTGGATTTGAACCTGCGCAGCAGATTCTCCACTCTGAGCTCCCTCCCTTCTCCATACCGTCCTCTGGGCAAGAGAGGGTGTAGGTCCTGGGCTACAAGTCCAGTTTCCAAGGTCTTATCCTAGGTGGTGGGTGGGTGGAAGGAAGGGGTGCAGTGATGGGCGTCTTGCAACTGCCACCTAATCAATAACTGGAGAGTACGTCATAATTTCTTCTGGAAGAGGTGGAAGGGCAGGGTCACCTCTCGGGGACAAAGAATTTCAGGAAGAGGGAAAAAAGGGAGGCAAGAGCAAAAAGGAAGAACACAGTAGAGAAAAAGCAGAGGAAAAGGGAAATGAGGATGTAAGAGCTGGCGGGGGGCCCGTGTCTTCCTACCCAAGGTCGTGGCGGCACCGAGGGCCCGGTGTCCCCGGGAGGGAGGCCGCGCGCCCTGGGCAGTGACCGCCCGCCCTTTCCTGGGGGGTGGCGGGCCAGCGCCGAGCAGGGCCGACTGGCTCCGAGCGGGCCCGCTGCGCGCTTTCCCACCGGTGCTTACTCGGCCGGAGCACCAGCAGCGGCCGCGGGACCCGCGTGCGTGTGCATCTGCGCGGCGGGTGTCGCGTGTGTCGGGGTGGGAGTGGCGTAGCCTGCGGGGGGTGGCGCCACGCGTCCGGGCGCGGAGTTGGTGCGCCGGCCGCTGTTTGTGTGCCGCTCGGACTCTCGGGCGCCGCGGGGCCTCTTCCGGAGGGCTTTCCCGCCCAGGTGTCCCGGGTGACCCCGCTGTAGCCGCGCCGAGTTCCGGACCGAGCTGCGAGCGCAGCGGCGCGTCTCCAAGGGGCCCCGTGCGCGCGCGGAGCGGCTCTGCGGCGGAGCGCGGCGTGGCACTTGGCAGACGCTCCCTGGGCGGCGGTGGCGGTGGCGGGGGGGCGCCGTCTGGGAGCCCCGAGGGCCGGCCCCCTCCCGCCCTTCGGCCGGCCTCCGCGCGCTACCTCCGTCCCCGGCCCGACACCCGGCCCCCAGTCCCGCCCGCCCGCCGCCCACCGCGCCATGCGCCCGGCCCGCCGGCGCGCCCCGTCCGGGATGGGGCGCCTGGACGCCTGAGCCGCCGTTCGGCGCGACCTCCGCGCGGGGCAAGGAACCGGCGCGGCGCGGCCAGGCTAGCATGGAGACAGCCAGTGGCCCCAGCGGCAGCGGCCCCAGCGGCGACGGGGCTGGGGACGGTGCTCGCTCAGAGCCCCCAGCTCCCGGCCCTGCAGCCCCCGGCTCCGGCCCCGGTCCGTGCCCGGCCGCCCGGGAGTCCGAGCGCCAGCTACGCCTCCGCCTCTGCGTCCTCAACGAGATCTTGGGCACCGAGAGGGACTACGTGGGCACCTTGCGCTTCTTGCAGTCGGTGAGTGGCGCCAGGATCAGGGGGTACTGCCAGGCTCCGGCCGCCAGTTCTGCTCCGGAGCGGGGAAGCCCACAGCCCGGGAGGGGTCCTCCCACAACCTGTGGCCACGGTCTCCCGGGAGGCGCCGTGCGCGGCTCGCAGAGAAGTGAGGCAGGCGGTCGTGCTTCTCTGGAGGTCTGTGACGACCTCGCTGGCCGGCCCCAGACCTGGGGTCTCCGGCACACAGCCCGCCCCGCAGGCGCGCTACCCTTTTGTCTCCCCTCACTCCCCTCCTTTCAAATAGTTTTAAAATTAGTTACATCCGCGAGGCAGGGGGCTCTGGGACCCAGGCTCCTCCAAGCTTTCACTCCTGCGTCTTTTTCCCGGGAATTTGTGCATCTCCTGGTGCCAAACGCTCTTCTGGAGGTGGGGCGGCTTCTAGAAATCCTAGAGGCCAGAGGAGGGTAAAAACTGAAGCCCGAGGGGGATGGGAATGGACAAGACCCCAAGGTAGAAGACCCTCTTCTAATGTTCTAATACTCCCCCACTCCGCTTCCCACCCCCCCACCGGCAGTTCAGGGCCCCATGCGACTTGCCTCCCAAGTTGCAAAACCACAGCCTGCTTATAAAATAACAACTGAGCGCCCTTCATGTGCCTGGCACCTTGCATGTGGCATTCCCAGCGATAACCTTCACAAGTGGTCCAGGAAGTAGGGACCCGGCTTTCCCCACCAGCTTTTAACCTGGGCGAGCTTGTTCCAGAGAGGTTGAGTGATTTGCCCAGGATCACACAGCTGGTGAAGGTGGGACCACTGGACTTTGAACCCGAGCAGCCCTTCCGGTGCTGCAAACCCGGATTCTGTGCTACTGTTTCTTTCTTCTCGGAGAGGAAGGGGCCACTTCTCTACACTCTTAGGAAGTGAGAAAAGTGACCAGGGGACCGGGGAGGTGGGACTGGGCTGGGCCTAGGATGCAAGTTAGGAGACTCCAGAGCTTTCATCTCCCTGCCTCCTGCTGGGACCTCATTTACTCGCCTGCTCTGCTCCAGGAAGTCTTTTAATCCTGGCTCAGGAAGGGCCGGCAGGGGGTGGTGGTGGTGGCTACTTCTGAGACCCCTGAGCTGGGCTCTGCAGTTCTGGATGGAAAGAGAAAGACTCTGGAATGCTTTGGGTTCCTGGTGCCTTGGGGCTGCCTTGGGGCTTGTGTAAGAGTCGGGTTCCAACTCTGGGAGAATAGGGCCCTTTCCTGCGAAGGGAGGTGGGTGTACTTGGGGGCAGGGATGGGGTGAAAGCCAGGCACAGAGACATAGACAACTAGTTGGCCCAAGGACCCTTCTAGAAAGGCTTGTATGAATAATATCGAGCTGGCATCTCTTTCCCACCTCTCCCTCTCACAGTTAAAAAAGAATCTGGTCAATGTGAAACTGCCAGTTTCTGAATTAAAGATGCAGACAGCCCTGGTGCCTGTCCACCTTGTCAAATGCGAGGGAACTCTGTCACTTCTTCTGAGCCACTCCCTGCTCCTCCTCAGTCATCCATGGAAACAGGAAACTTGAACCTTTTTTTGTGTTGTATTAATGGGAAAGAAAATATACCTCTCCCTCCCACACCCCTGCCCTAAATAGTGTGGTTTCCAAGCAGATCGAGATAGCGATGGGGTTAGCTGTGGTTTTAAATTGTCCAACGTGCCGAATCCAGAGAAGGCTGCGGGTAATGGACACGGACCAGGAGAAACCATTTGTGTTATTCAAGAAACAAACAAACAAACAAACAAACAAACCCTCTCCAGTTCTGTATTATCCCCTTGACACTTTTAAGTTTCCGCGTCCAGCCGGTGATTGTGTTGCTGATGAGCTAGTCAGTTCTGGGATGAGCTCGTTCTGGTGATGACATCTGGGACCAGTCAGGCCACCTGTTCTGACCTTAGTTTCCCCACCTGTAAAACAAGGAGCGGGGAGGGGGTGGGGAGAAGGCAGGCTTCCTTCCTGCTGTGTCCTTTCCCTGTCTGAAGCAGATTGATTGTGTAACCTGACCAGAGGCACCTCGGGGGTCCTTGGGAGGCACAGGAGCCCTCTCTTGTCTGACTGCATCAGAAATGTCCCTTAAGTAACCCAAGGTCTTTTAGTTTGAAAAGCCAGGGCTTAGAGCTTTAGGAACTACTAATTACCAGGGCGCTGTGCTCCATGCAGCGAGGCTGGCAGCCTACAGGTTTTGATTGTCTCCTGTCTTCCCACTCTATCTCCTCTCAGTCTTCATATTTGCAGAGGGAATTCCCCCCCCTCCCCCCCTGTGGCTCCAGGATGGGCCCGACTTTTAATTCCCTGCCATGGAGGCAGGATTCCAGGCTTCCCTGGTCTCCAGTGTCCCTGATGTTAAGGACAGCCTGTGGAATTTGAGCCTCTGATACCCAGCTCTCAGTTCCTGCCTCCAAGGAGAGGACCATGGTCTCGAGTGCACAATAACAAATCCGCCCACTGCCAGGAGTTGATTCCGACTCCCTATGACTCTTGATAGGGTTTTTCAGGAGCAGATAGCCTCGTTTTTCTCCCACGGAGCGTCTGGTGGGATTGAACCAATGTTCACCAGGGCTCCTTAGGTTGCAACAATGGGAACCTAGAAAAATCCAGGTACAAGGCTGGGATGACATTCTTGGGCGGTGTGACCTTGGACAAGTGGCTTAATCCTTCTGAGCCTCAGTTTCCTCATCTGTGAAGTGGAGGATGATAACTGCCGTGGCGTGTTAGCCGGTTGGTACCGGCTCACCGCAACCCTTGATCCAGGACAGAACAGAACAACTGCCTGTTCGGATTTCCACGTCCGTAGTCACAGGAGCAGGTTGCCAAGGCTTTTCTCTCGCTGAGCCACCAGTGGGTTTGAACCACCAGGCTTTCAGGTCGTGATGGGAGTGCTTAAGCAGTGCAGCACTAAAAACAAAACAGAACACACTTGCCATTGAGTGGATTCAGACTTACGGTGACCCTGTGCGTTTCCAAGACTCCCTTTCCTGGAGTAAAAAGCCTCATCTTTCTCCCAAGGAGCGGCTGGTGATTGCCAACGGCTGACCCTGCGGGTAGCAGCCAGGTACATGACCACTATGCCACCAGGGCTCCTTTGACCGCACGAGGGCTCTTGAAAATAATAACAGCTCCTAGTTTCCAGGGGCTTAAGAGAGGTTTAACTGAATTCAATGAACTAGGGTGTACCTGGCAGGTAGGGAGGTCTATGTGAGTTGTCGTGTTGGCCCCTACTTCTTGGGACCTGTATGCCACAGAAGGAAGTGTTGCCTGGTTCCGGTCCATCTCCAGGACTGTTGGTGTGCTTGTGTCCATTGTCGCAGCCACTGAGTCAGACAGCATTCTGTTGTGGTCCATGGGGTTTTTAGTGGCTAATTTTTAGAAAGAGGTGGCCAGGCCTTTTTGCCTAGTCTGCCTTAGTCTGGAAATGCCACTGAAATGTGCCCACGGTGAGTGATTTTTGCGGAGATACAAGTGACCTAGCTTCCAGCAACACAACAACATGCAAGCTGTCATAGGTGACAACTGACAGACAGGCGGTGGGGTAAGCGTCATAAAAATTAGTCAAGATCAGGAGCTGATACCAAGGGCTCAAGTAGAACCAAATATTTTGAGAACGATGAGGGCAACAAATGTACAAATGTGCTTGACACATGGATGGATGGATGGATTGTGATAAGTTGTAAGAGCCTCCAATAAAATGATAAAAAAGAGGTATTTCTGTAATAATTGCCTATTAAGTATAATGTTAACTCCTTGCTTTAGATAGACTTTGTTATATCATAAATAAATGTGGACTTCTAATGTGTCTCTGATGTTTATTAATAAAATGATAGAACTTGAAAAAAATAAGTCAAGATCATGGATTATTGTCATTATTATGTGATCATCCAGTTGATGAGGGTGATACGCTGTGGATTTCTGCATCCATAGAGCACGAGTAGTCAGGGAGGGCTGCCTGGAGGAAGTGAGGTGTTAGCCCTGAAAGGAAACCAGGGATTCGGAGTGAGTTTCTGTTGGACCCTCTGACCTCCTTTTGCAGAATCCAGCAGCTTCGTTTGGTTCTGGGCCTGGGGCGCTGAGGTTTTCCCAGGAGCTCCCCATCTCTGTCCACACTCTTCAGGGCTTGGCTCGTACTCCCTCCCCTCCCATCTCCAAGGGAACCTCTGCCTTTGGTGGCATGTGTTTAAGAGACAAAGGAAGGGACTAGCTTTTTCCTAGAAAGCCTGCATTTGCTGTGAGGAAGAGCACTGAGGTTTTAGGGAAAAATGCCCCGGGTTTCCACTCAGCGCCTCTGAGCTCAGCGTGTAGAAGCCCCGACCCGTTGGGCACTACCTGTGTGTGTGTGTGCACCCTGGGGCGCCCGCCATTAGTGATGCTAAGCCTACTGACACACATTACCAGGCAGGGGCGGACACTTAGCATTTCCTATGCCTAGTGTTTTGAACTATATGAATTCATGAATCCTTTCACCACCCTTAGAAAGTAGTGCTGCTGTGCCCCTCCTGACTGACAGACGAGGAAATTGAGGCAGTGTCATACTGCAGAATGGGGACCCAGGTTTCTCTACTCTAGAATCTCAGCCCTAACCATTTCTCAAACTGACTCTGGCCTCTAAGGGGCTTGGCACATGATTATGATGGTGGCAGATCCAGGCTTCGAACCCGGGTAGGTGCCACTCTTAACCTCCACCTGCGCTGCCTCTCTCCCCCCTGTTGTCTTTTGCAGATTGGAGAGAGCTGCGGCAGGAGCTCTTGGTGTGCCTGTTTGCCAGGTGGCAGTTGAATGAAGGGCTCTAGAGCCAGGCTGCGGGGGGTTCCCACTGGATTGCTAACTATAGACCACCGGTTTGGAATCGCTCATCACTTCCTGGGAGAAAAGATGAGGTTTTCTCCCCTTGTGAACAGTTACCATCTAGGAGATACCGGGACAGTTCTACTCTTGTCTCTGGGTCTCTGTGTTGAGTTTTTGAGATTGACGGTGACCCTGGGCTGACTCCTGGCCTGCT